ATTGATTAGCAGTAGTAAGTGAGAAAAAGGGATCCTTTTAGTGAAAATCTTATCTTTTCGGGATTAATACACTGTAATAGTTCCTGTATCCAGCTGTCATGTGTGGGTGGGGAGACACGCTTCCACTTAAGAAAAATGGAACGCATGGCGAGCAGGGTTGTGAAGACGATGACCCGCTGGGTCGTGGAGGGCATGTTCTGTGTTGGGGGGACGCCGAACAGGGCAGTTGGGGGCTTAACGGGTATATGTGTGTTAAGGGCCTGTTCAAGGGTTTTCAAAATACTAGACCAGAAGGCATTCAGGCTGGGGTATGACCAAAACATATGTGTGTGATTGGCAGGACATTGCTTGCATCTGTTACAGGCATCACTTATAAGAGGAAATATTTTGGCATAGTTTATCGTTGGTAAAGTGAGCCCTGTGGAGCAGGGGCGGCAGGTACTGTAGGCTAGGGAAGGCTAAGCCTTCCCAAATATTTGTGTCACTGCATCCTGGTAATCTTTTACCAGGATGCAGTGACACAAATATTTGGGAAGGCTTAGCCTTCCCTAGCCTACAGTACCTGCCGCCCCTGCTCCACAGGGCTCACTTTACCAACGATANGAGGGCTTCACAAGTCAACAAACACAATTGGCAATGTAAAACAATGTAAAAACAACAAACGTATCTTACAAGCTCAATGTGAAAATACCAATTTAAAAAGAAACATAACACATTGACTCAAATACAGTTAGAGTACAATAAATAAAATTCCATAAAACGAAGGGTCCATGAGGATGTATAAAAGGGGGTTTAAAACCAGTCTTAGCTGTACGCTGTACTAAAAAGAAAAGTATTTAACCTATTCTTAAATGTGTGGACACTGTTTGCCTCCCTAATCGTCACCGGAAGTTGATTCCAGAGGAACGGGCTTGGTAGCCGAAAGCTCTAGCACCTGACCTTTTTTTGTGGACTCTGGGAACCACCAACAGACCTGCACTCTGGGATCTTAATCGTTACCATAAGATGTTAATCGATACAATCGTTTGCCCTCCTGCCCTTACATTTCGTCTCTGTTTCGCCTCTGCACCCGGGAGCATCCAGAGAACACAGCTCACATCTGAATGCCAGGATTAGCGTTTGGTCCAAGCTCTGAGTCCATGAATGAGTCACAGAGAGAGAGAGAGAGAGAGAGAGAGAGAGAGAGAGAGAGAGAGAGAGAGAGAGAGAGAGAGAGAGAGACAGAGACAGAGACAGAGACAGAGAGACAGAGACAGAGAGAGTAAATCGTCTTACAGCCGCAGGCAGCCTCAGTAGCACAGTTTCAGGACAGTGGGCTGGAGAGGAAGTGAGAAGTGCGTCAAGCTGAAATGATCAAGAGGAGAACACACACTAAGAGACAGAAGGGAAGGGTCACATGGTCTACAAGCTATGTCATCTTATCTCAATGTAATTTGGTGGTCGTCTTATCTTTGGTCCCAGAGGGGGTTTGGTTGACTTTGTTTTATTCCTCATTCAGACAAAATGAGAGATGTTCCTTGTACTGATCAATACTGCCTCCATTCAAGGACACATGGCCTATAAATCATGTGACCCTGTAACTCAGCCGCCATTCAGTGGCACACTTACTGCACACACACATACATCAAAAGAGAGGAAATGGCAAAGAGTCCAGTAATCCAAGAATGTGATTAGCAGGCCTGCCAATATCCAATTCAAAAACATATTTGTATCCACCATTTATTTAAACACAACTCTATTATAATTGTTCTGTATAATTGTAACTATATTAAAAAATATATTAAAAACGTTTATAATCCATCCCCCTTAGATTTACTCTCATATTATGTTCCTGAATAGTGAGACGTGAATTCAGATTTGTGATGCAAAGCTTAAGAGTGAAATTGGCATCTAAAGTTGAGAACATAACACCATTTCATATCGAGTTCTGTAGATGTGCTTAAAGAAACAACTTATGAAAAAAACCTCATTATGTAATGAGCAATGTGTCTCTTAAGGGAGGCGTGGAGGAGGAAGAGGATGAAGAGGAGGAGGGCAACAGCAGTAACAAGGCACATCCTGCATGCAATATGCAGCTCAGATACAATGTTTTATGTAAATGATGAAAATGTTGTTATGTTTGCTTCTTGGGAAAGTCCCTGAAAGCTGTGTTTAAAGCAAAATAATAATTCAGCAGCTATTCCTCCTGAACTTAAAATGTCTAAATGTTTCTTCTCTTGAATATAAAGTGCGGGCGGGGAGCAGCAGAGGACGAGCTGAAAGGGTGCTGGCTGCTGGCTCTCTGGTAGCAGCTGTCCTCAGCAGCACTCCCTGCATCTGCTCCGCTAAACACTTCCCATTAGAGACGACCCAGAAACGTCCATGAACCCGCCGGCCAGAAAAAAAGAGGAGTGAAAAAAGGGAGGATGAAGAAAGAATTGAAACGTGAGAAAAACACATAGAAGAGGAAATATGATTCACAGAGAATAAACACAATCTCCAGGCAGAAATGACTATATTCTTTCTCAGAGCACTTTGTTTCGTGTGCAAAACATTTAATCTCCTGTAGGCCTTTAGGCTTTTTACGCTGTGATTGTTTCGCGACAGGAAACAAAGATTTCTCCATCATCCACTTCCACCCTTAATATCTGCTCTGGGCCGCCGACTGAAGTGATGAGAGCCAGGACAATGCTTCTTCTGAATCATCTCATCTGTTCTGCTCTGTCAAGGTCTGCACTTGGTGACACTGTGACTATTCATCAGAGCAGACACACTCCCACACACACACACACACACACACACACACACACACACACACACACACACACACACACACACACACAGTGACGAAAATACACCCCATCTAGCTGTGCCGCTCCATTCAAAGCTTTTATTACCTTATCAGACATTCAAGGTGCAACAGCGCACACTAAAATCCCAACACCGTTTTTATGTGTGTGATTTACGCAGCGTCCACACGCGGCGTGCGTTGAAGCTTGCCGGTGAGCTTGTCTGAAACTCGACCAACAACCAATCACATGAATCTCCCGCCCCGGACACACAAGCACGCGGTTTGATTGGCTAGAGCTTCCACCGAAGCTTCAAAAGTTGAACATTGCTCAACTTTTGAAGCGAGCAAAGCGAAGCCACGCTCCCACAATGCAGTTCGGCAAAGCGTGACGTCACCCCATTCAAAGTGAATGGGCAAAAGAGTTGAAGCTTCAACGCACGCCGCCGTGTGGACGGGACGTAATGGCAAACAAGCTTTTTCCACATCGAGCCTTGTAGAGTGTCTCGATACTTCTGAACGCTCCGCCCCCGGCAGATCTCTGTGTGCCGCTGCAGCGTGTATGTTAGGCCCCGCCCCCCGCACACAGAGAGACATAGGGAGATCGCTCTTCTGGAGTGAAGAGAGCGGAAATAATGATATTGCAAGTTAGAAACGTAAGATACATTTTGACAGATAAGACGGATAATTGGGGGAAAATACCCTGCATTTTGAATGTCCGATAGTCCACCATTAACACCTTAGTCCCGTCTCGTCTCGTCAACGAAAACTAAATATATATTTCGTCAAAGTTTTCGTTATCAAGAATCTATTTTTAGCTCGTCATCGTCTCGTAAAAAAGGTCGTTGACGAACATTTTTCGTCATAGTTTTCGTAGACCAAATTTACACTGCGCGACTGTTACAATGAAGGCTCGATAATCAGCTCACGGCATCTAGGTGTAAGCAGGGGTAAAGTGCTATTTTTATAAGTGGGGAGTGGACCTAACATAGGGGCGTCCGCTCCCCCGGGAATTTTTTTTTTTAAATATTGAAGTTAAAAGCATCAATCTGGTGCACTTTGAGAGCAAAATGAAGAGATCTATGGATACATCTCTCAACACCCATATGAAACAGAACTGTAAACATGTACAACTTTTTTAGATTCCATTGATAGTTTTCTTTAGGTGTTTTGAGTTCATATTTCTTCTCTGGTACAACATTCTTTGTGAATTGTCTAATTGATGGTAAAATAAATAGTACTTTTATTATATTCTTTTCATAGCTTTCTCTTAGCCTTACGTAAGCAACTGTAACCGATAGCATGCTTTGTTTTACAACCATAGCACTGTGTGATTAGTTGTGAGTGAACTCCGTTTGCAGTGCAATATGATTTAGTATTTCACCCCGGGGACCCCCGCGCTACGTACCTGTCCTCTTGGCCTCCTTTTTTTTCACCAGACCAGGTTGCCCAAACCAGTGCTATTACATTTGTTAACTAAAGCTCCGTGTACACATATACTAGTATAAATATGTTTTTATCTCTTAATTGCTTTTTAGTAAATGATATACTGTCCATTTCTTTATTGCAAAATTTTCCCCTCACTAAAAATTATAGGTATTCTTT